GGAGGCGTAGGGACGGGAGGGACGCGAGGGACGGGGCGGAGCAGGAGGCGGGCGCCTACCGTAGAAGGACGGCCCGCGGTTATGCTCGTCCTCCAGGAAGAAGGCCAGCATGAAGCTCCGGGGGTCCCGCAGCAGCAGCAGATGGCCGAAGTTCTCCCTGTTCCCCTCTGTGAGGGAAACAGCCTTGGTGAGGCGACGTGAGGGCCCCGCGGGCCCATCCCACAGGCCCAAGGCCTCCCTAACTTCGGGCCAGGGTCACTGGGCTACGAGGCCCCACACTGAGCGTGGAGGGACACCCGATGGTGGTCGCCTCAGATGGCCCCTGTCCCCATTTCACAGACGAGAGTGAGGAGGCCCTCAGGGGAACCTCGGGGCTGCTAAGTGGAGTCAGTCAGCCCCACCCATGTTTGAGTGCCAGCTCCGGTGACAGCGGCGACATGGATGAAGTCACCACCTGCCCAGTACACTGGTTTCCCACTCTTTGGTTCCAGAGGATCTTAAAGGGTGGCCAAGAGGAGCAGGGCTACAGCCAGATTCGCTCTGAGTTCTAATGACAAGCTGTGTAAACTCTTGGAAACTACCCAACACCTCCGTTGTTTGCCCATCTGATCCTTGTAAGGCCTCATAGAGGTGTCTCGCATAGTAGGCTGGTTGGTTTATGGAGAGCACTTCAAACAGTGCCAGGCACACAGTAAAGGCTCCAAAACGTTGGCTGTCATTACTATGCCTTCTGTGCCGTTTGCAGGCCCAGGGATCAGACGGGACTAGGGAGTAAGCCTGCCCATGTTCTCTGTGTCCAGAGCCTCCAGCACCTGGGTCCCAGCCCCTTGCAGAGCATCCCACCGGAGCACCAAGCCTCACCTGTCTTGGAAAAGGTTCCGTTCTCCCTATGGACACTCAGGATGGTGGAGTTCTGAGTGCACCGGCCCCCGCTGCAGCCAGACAGGAAGAGGTGTGAAAAGCAGGAAGACAGTCAAGAAGTGACGGTCACTCCACTGCGGAAGGGCAAGGGGTGGGAGAGATGAGAGTCAGCTGCCCCCTCCTGGTGTGGAGCGAAGACTTCAGGCTCCAGAGGGACTCACATTGTCATGTGCTCCCTGACCCACAACTTGTCCTCCCTGGGGCGAGTGTCAAAGTAGATGAATTCTGCCTGCATCTCTTGAGCCCCCTGTTTGTACTCTGGTTTCCGGAAGGCAGAAGCGATGAAAAACCACCTGCGAGTGAGCTGGGGCCGAGGCACAGGTCAGAGCTCAGAACGGAGAAGCCTCAGGTGACCGCTCTTCCCTCCCTCAGCTCAGCAAACAGGGAGACGGAGGCACAGGTCTCGTACGGGCCCCAATGCCCCCCTTCCCCGGGGCCCCTTCATGCCTACCACAGAACCCCCGTGGAGGGTCTTTGTTGTGGTGCTTCTGAGTTTGAAGGCAGGAGGAAGCCACCAGAATTCCAGATGGTCAGAAAGTCACCCCATCCCCAAGAAAAGAAAGGACAGAGCAGGAGCAGGGGCACCAAGCCAGCAGGACAAGAAAAGCTCAGAGAGGGAGGTGGGGGCCCACAGCACTCAGCACTCACCCAGTCCAGGGTGGCACTGGTGATGGGCATGGCCGTGACATTGGTGCATGCTGGGTTCTGGGAGTTTAGCAGCGGCAGGACGCACAGGGCTTCCAGGGCCCAGTGCAGCACCATGGCGAGCTGGAGGCTCCCAGAGCCAGGGAGAGCAGGTGGCTGCAGGGTGCTGGGACCTTTACAGGGAGCCATGGGTGGGGCGGTGGAGCTGGCAAGGGTCTGCTCAGGGCTGTGACACAACCTGGCCAGTGCTTGGGAAATGCCTTGCACAAATCCTTCCCCAGAGCGAGCCCCAAGCCTGGGTCTGACACCTTCCCTGGCCTGGAGTTCTCTCTTTTTTTTTTTTTTTTTTTTTTTTC